AAAAAAAAAAAAAAAACCCAAAGATTAGATCTCCATAATAAAAAAACTAAAACTAAAACTAAAGATTAGATCTGTTTTAACATTATTGTTTTTAAAAATATATTATATAGTTTAAATAGTATTAAATTTTATAATTTTATAATTTTATATTATTAAAAGAGGAAAAAGTCTTTTAATATTGAAAACTATATTTTTATTTAATAATTTTTATTTTATTGTCTAATATAATCTACATTGTAAAACAAAAAACACTCATAATCTTTAATATTAAAAAATGAAGTGAAAATATTATACAATAATATTCAAAGGATCTATTGTTGTTTAATCTTACATTCCAATATTGTAAGACTAAACATCTTTTAAATTACTCTTTGAAAGTAATTAGCACAACTTGAGAGGTATCATCTCTAGCTTGAAGAGGACTTTCTTTTTCTTCTTCCACATCTTCTATTTGCACATTAGATCCACGTAAGCAAACAAGAAAAGAAAGAGAACTAAAGAAACCTTCTTCTTCTTCTTTTTACTATTATCTATTTTGGTGGAGAAATACTCAAAGAAAATGCATAGATAATAAGGTAGAGTTTTTAGCTACATATTAAAATGAAAAAGAAAAGATTGGTGTATCTTGAAAATGTAAAAAAGACAATCAATTTAATGAAAATTAAACACAAATAATTAATTTAAAGCAAAATTTTAATAAGAAAACAAATATTGTGAGTAGGAAATAGAAATGCAATATACCCTTGATAAGCTAGCAATATATGTATATAAAGCCAAGAACTAGAGGGAACGTTCCACCCTTACTTACATATCTCCAATGTTGGTTGCTTGAGCTGTATGATAGGGACCCATAGGTTGCTCGGTCAGCTATGGTTTTATTTTGTGCCATGTGGTGGTGTATGAATTGATTTATACCAATGCTAATTCCCACTTACCTGCTATAGTTGCTACAGCTAATCGATCATTTTCTTGCCCAATTTGATGATTTTGTGGTTAAACATGCTTCCCTGAAGCCACTGCTACATCATCACCTGTGTCCGTATACGAGCTTAATGTTAATGGTGGTTCCATTTCTGTCCATCAGAGGGTATACAAACTTAATGGTGTATACAAGCTTGATGTCAATGGTGCTTTCATTTCTGTCCATCAAATAGTGCTTTCATTTCTGTCCATCAAATAGTACTTTCATTTCTGTCCATCAGATCAGAGGACATTGGTGGCTTGATGATGCTAAAGTTAATGTCGGGGGTTCTTTCCAACAAGCTGTGAATAAGTATTTGGTGTGGAGCACGTTGAAGCATTAGCTATCCTTCATGGTTTACAATTGGCTATACTGGTCTGAGATGTCAACAGGTTGTTGTGGAGGCTGTGGGTGACTCTCTCATTACTCTGAAAGCACTAAAGCAGCACTTGCCTCCTTCTGTAGCTGCTGATCTAGATTGATCGGAAACTGATGTATTAGTATTCTTAAATTAATGGAAAGCAGCTTTATGTTTACCATAAATAAAAATAAATAATAATAATAAT